CCCCAAGTCCTTCTCCGCAGGGCTGCTCTCAAGGAGATCTTCCCCCAGTCTGTATAAATACCTGGGATCGCCCCGCCCCAAGTGCAGCACCCTGCACTTGGCCGTGTTGAACCTCATAGGGTCCACATGGGCCCACTTCTCCAGCCTGTCCAGGTCCCTCTGGATGGCTTCCCTTCCCTCCAGTGTATCGACTGCACCACTCAGCTTGGTGTCATCTGCAAACTTGCTGAGGGTGTACTCGATGCCATCATCTGTCATTGATGAAGATGTTGAAGAGCACCGGTCCCAAGACCGACCCCTGAGGGACACCGCTTGTGACCGGCCTCCACCCTGACACAGAACCACTGATCACAGCCCTTTGGCTTCATCCAGCCAGCCAATTCCTAAGCCGTCAAACTGTCCATCCTTCAAATCTACACCTCATCAATTTAGAGAGAAGGATGTGGTGAGCGACCATGTCAAAGACCCTGCAGAAATCCAGGAAGATGACATCCGTCACCCTTCCCTTGTCCACTGATGCCATCACTCCATCACAGAAGGCCATCAGATTGGTCAGGCAAGATCTGCCCTTGCTGAAGCCATGCTAGTTTTCTTGGATCACCTCTTTTTCTCGTATGTGCCGTAACTTGCAACAGCTTCCCTATATGAAATTAAGAACAATAGGCAGCAGAGAAAATGAAGAACTTCAATTCAGAGTCTCTTCCTATATTGAGAAAGCTTATCTTAAAATTAACTCTTACTCTCAATTTATAGATGTGATTTGGAGAAGTTTTACCTTCTATGACCTGAGCTGCTGAACAAGCACGGATTGACAAGCCTAAGAGCAGTAGTGGCACGTCCCAGCTCCACCAGGCACGACTGAAGCAGGTGTGCAGAAAAAAAAAAAAAAAAAATTGAAAAAAAAAGGATAGGAAAAGAATGAGACAAAAAACGTAATACAGAAGCATGAGGGTTAAAAAAATAACGTAGAAGAGAGAATTCTTACCATGACAGCATTTTTTGAAAGTCAGTTGAAAGATCTCAAGTGGGGAAAATGCTCAGCGAACATGAATTTTATACTTCTGAAAATACGTTAGTGAAAACTGGAGCCTGCTGTGTCTCCTCCAACGTTCAGACACGAGTGGAACAAAGGCAGCTCTCAGGCTCTCTGTGTGACTCACTGCAATTCAGGGCTCCAACTCTGAAATTTGACTCCACGTAGACTTTCCGTCAGACCGCAGCCTGAAAGTTCCTACCGTGTGCACTGTGTATGGATGGACACCCCTTTCTGCTGCTCATCACCCCACTGCTGGCACTCTGTGGCACTGCCTGAAGTTGCTGTGATCCCTCAGAAGCAGCAGCCCAGCATTTTCTCTAATTTCAGAAAACTCGTTAGCAAAGGAAGTGACATCTCTCCTGCTCCCACAGATGTGACGCTGCTCACACAGATGCTCCACATGAAGTGCTGCTGAAAGAGCCATTAATTTTGTGGGGATACTTTAGCGTGGATTTCTGACCAGTGCTGCATATTTTTAACACCGCTGGAGTGGTGTCGATGTTACTGTATTTTGTGCAGTTTTGTAAATTATTAAAACAGAAATATGTACCTGGTTCATGTCTAACAAGAAAAATGCACAAATTGCTTGCATTATTTATAAGTACAGTTTTACTGTATTTCAACATTTGAACAGTTATTTACATAAATCCACACTTTAAATCTGCTTACCTAGTTTTTTCTAATGGTTCAAAAGTTCCAAGATAAGCTGGTGTATCAGTGCAATATATATAGATGTAAAACATGAAATACCTGTTGCAGTTTTAAAATATGAAAACACTATTGCTTGTCTGCTGGGGAGAGTTTGAGGGGTTTTGTTTGTTTGTTTGTTTGTTTTGTTTTGTTTTTTAAAGAAACAGAGTATAAACTGTGTTACATTTGTTATTATCACCTTACTGGTGCTGTAAGTTCCTAATGCATTTCTCAGTTGAAGTTCAGTCTTTCACATTGGCCATTTCAAACAGCAAGGTGAGGCATAGCATGGAGCTCAGGTCAATAATCTGGATTTGAACACAGTCAGCTCAAGACAGAGACAGTTCCACCAGCCAGGCTTATTATCTCAGTTGGTTTGTACAGGTAACATTGGAGAGATGGAAAATGTGGAAGAGAAGAGGCAGAGATTGTTTGTAGAGGGTGGAAGGTAAAGAAGACAGTGAGTTAGGGAAGAGAAGGGATGGTGGATGTGAGTTGGGAGTATAAGCATCTGCAAACTTTTCAATTTTATTGTATTCAAGAATTTTTCTAAGTGACAGAGGAAAAAATAAAGTTATTTACAGGATTTTTTGTGCACAATTTTCAGGATATCCCAGTGGATTTTGAAATCACACACACACACACACACACACAAAAGGGAATAAAACACAGCACAAAACATCAAATGTAAAGCAAATATACATATATATGAAGTGTATACTGAAATGTTTGAAGTAACCCCAAGCTATGCTCATTCCCTTTCTCACTGGTTGCCCAAAAAAAGCAGCATAAAAGACTGAATGTCATTCAATTGCCAGGTTGAAAGTAAGAAGCTTCATCTCTGCTATTATCGACAGGTAACAGACTTCAACTATTGTCCCTTTCTGTATCATAATGAAACCATGATTTCTCGTATAGTAGGAAAGAAAAGACCATCTGTTGCTCAAAGCAATAGCAACAGCATACTTGCCTAGAAATTGAGAATGTTTTAAATTTGTGCTCTGTCTTGTTCACCTCGTTTTGTACTTAAGCCTATATCTCTCACCACAGGTAAGTGTTCTGGTCACGAAAAGTCTGGGTTCTTCTAATATCTCTCTTCTTTTTGCCTGGAATCACTCTATTTAACTATTCCTTACTGAACAGGACAGGCAAAAAAAGAGGGTTATTTAGTAGCTCAGTGACTGTAGCCCCTCAGTTTTTCCTTGCAGCTATAGTTTTGAGGTGAAGTACAGTGCTGAGACATCTCTCTTGAAATCAGCATGTATATCCCCAGGAAGTACTTTGTTTTTATTCATCTTAGTGTAGCATATTTCATGAATAGTGGAATAAAGATCACTTTGTATAAGTTGGAACCCCGAATGCATTTTGCATGGCATAGGAAAGATACAGAAATTTTCTTATATATATATATATATTGTTCTGATCTTAACATTATGGCTCATTTATGCTTAGTTGCTAGTTTTGTTATAAATATGAGCATTTAAATGAATTAATGCTCTCAAAATAAAGATCTCATAGAAGCTATCTGCTGCAGACTCGGAGTAAGAGCTCCAAAATAGAACGCAGAGGATCAGCATGTGATTCTTCATTCTACATTCCCAACAAGGCTTCCCTCAGTAGCAAACAGCAGCTGTAGTTAAAAATAGAAAGTGATAAGCAACTAGGATCTTTAATTAAACCCAGAAGTCACCCTCCACAACAGCAAGAAGAAACAATGAAGTCTCTCCAGTTCCTTAGTGCTGAAGCGTTCGTGTCACATGCTGAGTTTGCAAGGAAGAATCTTGGCAGTGTTGCCCATAATCTTTTTCCTCTTCTTTTTAAAGCCAGCTATTTACTTGAGCAAAGGGAAGTGATTCATGACTTGGTTGAGACCTGGCCACTTCCTGACTTTAATATAGGAAAACTTCTGGGAACTACTGTGGACTACCAGGAAGATCTGAGCCATAGAAGATGCTCAGTGTGCTTGGAGAGCTGTCTGACAGGGCTGAGAGATTATGTGCTGAATCATCCTTCTCCTTGTGTGAAAAGGTTGAAAGTGGTGGACCTGACAGGTATAAAAGATGTTGAAGTTCAGCTTTGTGAATGTAAGAAGACAATGGGGAGGTGGGCCAGGACAAAGCTGCTTTCAAAGCTTTGTTTAGAAGTGCTGGTCCACCTGCAACAAAAGCAGTGCAAGCCACGTGCCTTTGAAATCAGTATTGATGTGCTAATAGACTTGTTTGTTACAGAACGCAACTATGAGCTGGTAGTGCAGGCCCTGCTGCAGAAACGTTATTGTCCACTGAAGATCTGCTGTGTGGCATTTAGAGCTGACAACCTGGCTTTGCAGAAATTCTTCTACATCATAAAGCTCACCGATCCCTCTTTGTTGCGCAAACTGGAAGTGGTTCACAACGTTCGCTTGGAAATGGAACACTTGGAAATACTCTTCAACAGTATTCACTTCCCTCTACTGATGTCCTTGACCTTGCCAGCTCGAACATTTAATGTGCGGAGGCTCACAGCTGCAGATGAACTGATGCTTACTAGCATTGGAGAAAAGATGGGGGAAATGACGCAACTGACTGAGCTCAGTCTGGCATTTTCTATACTCACAGGAAGAATACGGAAGCTGCTCAGGTAACTTGCTTATCTTACTGTCAGTTCAAAATGTAAAGAACAGCAACGAGTGCCATCAGTAATATGAGAACGTTATAGAATAAGTGAAGTGAGAATATCTCATCTCAGGTGGTGTGTGAGAGTGGGAAGCAGAAAACTAGGAAGGAGTGTTTGTTGGGGAGAAGTCAATATGTTGCCAAATGTAATCAGAAGAGTCTTCCAGAGCCCATCTGATAAGTATGATTTGAATATGCTTTTGGCTCCTAACACAAGATAGAGATACACCTAGGTATGTCGCAATCTTGAGCTTATATCTCCATCAGCTTGGGCTGGCCTTTGATACAAGATCTAAGTCATAGTCAGTGTTTTTTTCAGGATTTCTAGTGAATGTTTTTCCTCTAAAAATTGGACAGTAAATACAGATTTCACAGATAATTTATTTTTAGATAGCTAGAGGGATATTAAACTGATTTGAGACTGATTTCAATTGTTCATTGTGCTTTCCAGTCTCAGGGTAGGAGAGATCCGATGCCTTTCGCTACTGCAAATTAAGCTAAGCTATGAACATTCATAATTATTTCCATAAAGGAATGGCAGTTCTTAAAAATATAATAAGCCACCAGTGATCTGTGTTCATATTTGAACTGAAAATCAAGTTGACTATGCGCTTTCCATATTTAGAAATAATAGACAAAAGTTTTGAAACAAATCACCTTGGTCTAAAATTCCTCCTGTACAAAGAAGGCACTTCATTTAAATGTTGTTAAGAGATCAAACAGTGGATATTAGCACAGGAAGGTGGTGGTATGTTTCAGTAGTGGCAACAACAATGTGAAAAAGAAGCCATTTTCCAGACTTCCAAGCAGATTTTTAGGTCACAGCATGCAGACTGTTGCTCATTATTGGTGAAAATAATGGCGACTATGTTGAAAAAATAATTTTTTGGAGCTGAGAATTTGCTCATTATTGTGCTCTTTGTAACTGTTGTAATTTCCATGGAAATAAATAGGATGCATTGCTTTTGGATCTTTATCCAGTTGAGATGCATGGAAGAATTCTTGTTGAGGCTCTCTACATCTACATTTATTTTCATCAGTTAAGATTATTTCATATTCAACTAAAACATTTGCACATAATCTCAAGTATTCTTTTTCCAGCCATCTTCTTCATCAGAATGTCTGAAACTTCAGAACAAAATTACATGTAAAACTCTTGGGCATTTAAAAACATAAAATAAAAACAAAACTAGAAATAAATACTGATGTGTTAGAATACTGATTGGCTTTCCTCTTGGAATGAATCCTTCCTTAACAGACATGATTGAAATCTCATGAATGATAACAGCTCCGTGAAAAAAGTCACCAATGTTTTTATTGTAGTAATGATCTGTTATTAACTCAGCAAATAACCTGACAACATATAAATGTTACAATATTAATTCCCTTTAAACCAAAACATTTGGAGCTATGAAGGGCTTGGGAAGCAAAATATATTTCTCATTGTTGGCATATGCTTCATGTCTAAAAGGAGATTAAGAAAAATAATGATTATGGCAGGTGACTGCACTCATAATACGGATAGAAGTGTGAAATTTTGTGTTTTTCAATGTTTCATGGCATAAAACCTTTTCTTTTTAATTCTACAGCCCATTAAAAACTCCACTGAAGATGCTGGATGTTTCTAACTGCTCACTGAACCATGCTGATATGATCTATTTAGCCAATAGTATTCATTCTTATCACTTGGAAGCACTGGACCTGAGTGGGCACAATATTCCTGAACTTTATCCATCAGCATTCTTTAAGCTTCTTAACCATTCCTCTCCAGTGCTTAGGAGTCTTATCTTGGAGGACTGTAACGTCCAAGACACTCATGTCAACATGCTGATTGTAGCATTAAGCCCTTGTCAGAAACTGCAGGAGTTCAAGTTTCTTGGAAATCCATTGTCATCCCAAGCACTTAAACACCTTTTCACATTTCTCTGTGAGTTGCCAGTGCTGAAAAATGTGGAGTTTCCAGTTCCAAAGGACTGCTACCCTATTGACATCACCTACCCAATTGATGATGCCAGTCTCTGCAGATTTGATCATCAAAAATATGATAGGATAGCAGAGGAGCTTAAATTCATTTTACTCCAAGCAAATCGGGAGGATGTGAAAGCTTCAACTCCACTCTTTGGCAGTTATGATGCAGCTGTTCAGGAGACAAATGATGAACTGGGAGCTTATTTGATCAAGTCCTTCAAAGAGACTTTAGAAAAGTTAACTACTTCTCTTAGCAAAATGAGTTAAATGTGTAACATATTTTCTATAAGTTGGCCTCACAAATCAGAAGCTAGTTTATTCTTTTCTGGAACAGTGTCCTTCCTTGGTCAGTCTTGAGTTTTCTTTAGTTTCTGGGCTGAATTTAGGTTGTTTTAATAGCTCATGGTCATCAGAGGTTTTTTAACTATTCTACTGCATAACATCTATGTAATTACAGCTTGTTCTCAGAAAAGGGGAAAACCCTCAATAGATTACTATTTTACACAAAAAGCATTTTGTTTCTTATTAAAACGAGGTGTCTGAAATTGGCTACTTTCTTCTACAGTTTTCTCCAGACTTGGGAATGAGGCTTACAAGCTAAACAGAAAAGACAAGAAAGTCTTTCCCCAGGTCCAACAGGATCCCTCAATGACTGTGTATATTCTTGTATTGGGGGCCCCAGGCCTGGACGCAGTGCTGCAGATGGGGCCTCACAAGAGCCGAGCAGAGGGGGACAATCACCTCCCTCTCCCTGCTGGCCACCCCTTTTTTCATGCAGCCCAGCACACAGTTGGCCTTCCGGGCTGCAAGCGCACACTGCTGGCTCATGTCCAGCTTCTCATCCACCAGGACCCCCAAGTCCTTCTCCACATGGCAAATCAAATGATTGACTGATAGCAGAGGATTCCCCTTCACCTCACTCCAGCAATACAAAGTAAATCCCTGGCAAAATGTATTTTACAGAGAAGTTCTGGCACAGTTCTGCACAGTCGTGTTTGTGGTATTAACAGGCAAGCACCTCAAGATGCTCCCTTTGTGGAATTTGTGGTTTTGGCCATTAGAATACACACGGCTGCTCTCAGCTGTTTTTCAAAAATAGCCTAGGACAATGGTAGTAACACAAAAATGAGTAGTGTGGGAAAAAATGGATCAAGAGACAGCTTAGAATTGTGGAAAAGGAGTAGGGAAGGCTGCTAAATAAATACATAACTTACATTCTTCTTTTTAATATATTAAATCCATTAAATGTATAATGGTAAGACTACAATGAAAGGACTTGAACCATTTGTGTTTACATAGTGCTAAAAAAAGCTAAAGGAAATCAAAGTTGCCAAGCCAAACATTCATGACATAGAAAAAAGAAAACAAAATTGGGTTACGTATGGTCTAGTTCATATTTGCACAGAGTTCCAGATGAGCACTTTTTCTTGCCTCCCTTTGACCTTTTGTATGAGGACTAACAGCTGACCTAGGCAACTGACTACTACTCTTAACATTTTCCTCCCTCTGATCTTGCTGTTCTTTCTATCCTAGTCTTGACTCAAGTTTTCTCAGCCAAACATAGATGGTTTGAATTTTGTTAGACCCAAGAGCTGCATCTTCGGTGTGAGAAGTGGCATATTTTGTTGCTCAGAGAGATTATTCCATTTAGAATAGATGTAAACCTACGGGTAGTAATTTCTGCACACTGGCAGCAGGCTAGATAAATACTGTGTCTGAAAGTGAAGACTGACTGTTTTAGAAGCATACTGTGCTCCAACAACTTGTCCCTGCCTATTTCAGTGCACACAAAATGGTTTGTTCATAGATCACTTCTTATTTAGGAGTTTTTATATGCCTTATGAGTACTGCAGCTTTCTCACTGCTTTCTTCTTGCCAAAAAACAGTCCTTTGTTTACTTATTTATCACAAACTTCTCCCCATTTTCCATTTTCAGTAATACGCACGCTATGCTGTCAATTTATGTCTGCCTGGGCCAGAAGGATGTGGAGACACTAAGAAGTTTTAGTGCCCATTCCACACTGAGGATTAGTAGCTGTTAAGTCTTTTTCAAATATTCCCTTTTAGAATGAACAGTGGAGGACACAGCATTAAAGAAATAATGCACATGCATTACTACATGCAGAGTGGTTACGAATGACTGATGTGTGGCTGGAGCACATGGATCCACGTGTCCAGTATCTTTGGATCCTGTTTTTGTGAAGCCATTTGCAGCATCATTTTCAAGGCTTTGTGAGCTTCTACATGGGCTGTTCCAAAAGTAATGTCTCCTATCTTATTATATTGGTCCACGACATCAGAGGTGAATGTTCATGGTAAGGCAGTAGAGGTCCAGCCTTCCCACAGAGATTCCATTATATTTCATTGCAATGCAACAGATGACAACAGAGGAGCAGTTTGACAAAATTATGACTGATACAGAAGTGCATATGAAGATAAGAATTGGAACTTAGTTCCTCCATGTGGAAAAAATTGCAGTTGTTTACACTCATTCATTGACACTTGCTGAATGTTTATGTAGACCAAACCGTGGACATTAGTACAATAAGGCAGTGGGTGATGTGTTTCAGCAGTGGCACCAAGGACATGAAAGACAAGCCATGTTCCAGATGGCAGTGCACAGCTGTAACACCACGAAATGAAGTGCGTCTCAATCAGCTAAACCATGCAAATAGGTGGATTATGACCAGGAAACTGTATATGGAGCTGAATATTGGCTTCAATACATTAGAAATGATGGTGGCAACTTGGAATATTGCAAAGCTTGCACCAGGCTGTCCCATGAACACTAACATGGGGAAAGAAAGAACACCATATGCAAATCTGTCAGGACCTATTGAACCAATTACGGACTAAAGGTGACAGTTTCCTGGAATGCATCATTACTGGTGACAAGATGTTGTGTCACCACTACAAACTGGAGTCAAAACGGGTATCCATGGAGTGGTGAGATGTGAATTCTCCATGGGAAGGAGCATTCGAGATGCAGTCCTCAGAGGGTAAAGTAACGTGTAACGTAACGTCACTGGGGACAAAAAAGTGGTGATCCTTTTGGATTTCCCAGAACCTAGACAAACCACCAATTCTGACCATTTCATCACGATGCTGACTAAGATGAAGGCTCAAACTTGCAGAGTCAGGCCAGAGATGGATAAAAACTTTCTCTTGCTATATCATAATGTCAGGCAGCATTTTCCTATCATAGCATCTGTAAAACAGTGTGTCAACTTTGCTGGTGCAGATTTTTACAAGTGTGGCTCTTGTTCATTGCTGCTGACTATGTTGAAAAATAGTGTTTTGTAGCTGAGAATTAACTCAATCAAATAGTATTATGGTTCTCACTGTATCAATTGTAGTTCTCCATAGAAAAAAATTAGGAGGCATTTTTTTCAGAGCAGAGACATGAAATGCATTTTGATAGGACCGAAGCAAAATTTGTACTGTTTACATTTACGTGTTAAAACTGTAGTCTATGAAGTGTAGTATTAATTAAAACACCTGCTTTGAATAGTGTAGAAACCAAAAGGCAGAACTTCAACAATCATGAGACCCTGCAAGTATTTGACAATGGGATTTTACAGGCACAAAACTGTATTTGTCTAAAAACTTGTTTAAAAAGTGTCATATTTAGGAGGAAGAGGGATTTCCACCATTATGGAATGGAGTCAGTTTTGGCTTTGTTTTGTTTGCTGTTTGTTTTGGTTTTGTTGTTTTTTTAAATTCTGTTTAAATCACACAATTCCCAGCTTTACAGCCAAATTTTTCCAAATTTGGAAAAGCTTCTACTTTTGCTTTGATAACAGTTGCTCCTTTGCAGAAATCCCATCTTTAGCTCTCAGGCATTTTACTTCCGTTTCATGAGTTTCTTTCTTAATTATGGTTATTAGTGATGCTTTTAAATAGAGGCTAAGACTTAGCATTTTCTTGCTGACCAGGCTTACTGTAACAAGAACATGTGCTGTTTCCCAAAAGGATTCCTGTGTCTCCTGTTCAAGAACTGCTATTTGTATTCTGGGCCTGGTCTTTCTTCCTCTTGCCACATGTGTAGGACTTGGCATTATGCTATTACAGTAGAAGCCCTAATGCAACAGCTACCTAAGTATTAAAGGTTATCCTTTGCAGGAGTAGACAGGTATCAGTTGAATTTATCTCCTCCCAAAGGACAATCTTCCTATTTTGCACCAACCTGGAGCCTTTGTGTTTGATATTTGCTAGCTATGGATATTTTAAACTATGGAACAGAACTCAAAATGCTATGAAATTTTAAAGTAAATTTGTTTTATTGTTGTTTTATTTCCACGCTGTTAATTACAGGTTTATATTGTAAGCAGTTCTCATGTGTAGATTTATTATTGAGCACAAAGTTCAATAAAAATAAGGGATCAACTCCTGCTGCTGCTTTTGCAAAAGATGAAATTCTTATGTTTGCAAATTTTGAGTGTCTTAGACAGTAAAATAATGCAATATAGGACAAAAATGTGTACAGTTTCACAACACTGTGATACTAATTCTCCAGCAGCATTTATGCTAAATGAAATAAGATTTCAAAAGTTGCAGTCACTCAACAGTTCCAAATGCTTGTAAATACTAAACACTATGAAAGGATGCATGTGTAAATTTATTTTGATAAAAGCAGTGGAAGTTGTTGTAAAGATCCTTCCCCTTTGTGCAGAATTTTGTTTTCAGAAGCCTTTCATGTCTAAACACACGCTGTGAAGAATAGTTTCCATTATAGGTGAGATAGGTTAGCAATTCCTTGGTAACAAAGAAATTTTCCCTTATGAATTAATATAATGCTGGGGCAGGGACAGAGTCTAGCTGCTGTAAGAAACATGCCTTTTCCTTCACCCAGCTCTTAGGCTGAGCATGACATCATGTGGTATCAAATACCTCTGTGGTCACCTGGAACCAGATGTTCTGGTTGTGTCCCCTCCCATCTTCTTGTGCATCCCCAGCCTACTTCTGCTGGAGCATCATGAGAAATGGAGGCTTTGACGCTCTGGAAGCACAGTTCAGCAATGACTAAAGCATCTGGATAGGAATAGTACAGCCAGTTTTGAAGATTTTTATGCAAATTAATTGTGAACTGAGTAAGTATCATGAGAGAATGGTCAGCCACTGGAACAGTGTCCCCTCTCAGGACAGTGGTAACCAAGCTTGCTGGAGTTCAGGAAACATTTGGACAAAGATCTCAGAAAGAAGGCTTGAATTTATGATGGTCCTGTGTGGAGCCAGGATTTGGACTCGATGATCCTTGTGGGTCTCTACCAACTCAAATTATTCTATGATATGGTTACTTTTGTTCATCAGTGTGTTATCAACACTGTTTTGGTCACAAATCCAAAACGTAACACCATGCAAATCACTGTTTATTATTTAAATTAACTCTATCCCAGTCAAATCAGTACACACAATAAAACTAACTGTGCATTTGCAGAAGAAAATGGAGGAAAATTAGGAGGGAGAATGTAGTAAAAGAGTGAAAACAG